CCTTAGGGGTACTGCCTCCAAGACAGCATGATCATGCTATTCCCCTGCAGCCTAACACTAGTTCGATATGTGTAAGGCCCTACCGTTACTTGTATAAGCAAAAAAAAAATGAGATTGAAGGGTTGTTTCGGGACACGTTAGCTGCCAAACTTATCGGTCCTAGCAATAGTCCATACTCAAGCCCAGTTTTGTTTGTCAAGAAGAAAGACGGGAGTTGGCGGTTTTGCGTGGATTATCATGCCCTCAATAATAATAAGTTTCCTATCCCATTGGTAGATGAATTGATCGATGATTTCCTTTTTCTATTGGGAGAGGCTGGCTTTCGAAAACCAGTAACCCCTGTAACTCCTGCTTTGATTGATCATTATAATACTAAACCCTACCATTCAGTTGAGTTCATATCAGAGTACTGATGAATATTTGAGTTTTTTACAACGTGTGTTTGTGGGTTAATGAGGTGGCAAAGTCAAGAATTTTTGTGAACGGGTTCAAGGTCAGTATCTATGCGGCGTTGAGATTGCGAGAACAAAGGGGGACGAGGGAAGTGATGAATATGTCAAAGAATCAAGGTCATGAAAAGCGCTTAACAAACAAGGAGTAATCAAGTAAGTTGGAAGAGGATGAATCTGGTTTCTAAAGACAAAGAGGCACTACTTGGCTTCTAGCCTTCCACCTTGAGGGCAATGTGTCTTTTGTGGGCAGGGGGAAGTAATGGGAAGTAATGCTAGACTATGCATAGGCTTGGCCTAATGTATATTCACATGTAGGGTTTTTTAGTTAAAATGCAACAATAACATAACCATAATTTGTTATGTTTCTAAATAGGAGATTAACATAGGATAGATTTTCATGCTTGATTCGACTTGACAGTAATTTTAAGTTAAATTCGGCATCTTTGGAGAGTCGATCGACTTTCTCAAAAGTTGACTAACCTTTCATTTGTAACAACCATAACAATGAAGTGAGAAGATTGAGTGCTAATTATGAAACTAGTGAGGTGACCTAATGCAATACTTGCATCACTCAATGCTTTTGTTTTTCGTTTCAAACACATTATCTTCCAAAGAATTACTTGCCATATAACCAATTATATCATTGAGAAAATATTTATCTTGATTATGATAATAGTACCTAATTCTACATTGTTTTATTCATATACATATATGTATATTCATATATAACCTAGTCTTATAACTCTACTTGCCAATACAAGTAAGATATCTTTGATAAAAGTTTTTAATTAACAAATGGGAAAGCAATCAAAGATTAAAGCATGAGTTCCCTTTATCATGTGGTTGGGTGAGAATGTAGAGAGAACAAATCTAGTCGAAATCACAAGTAATTGAGGCACATGCCATGGCACTGCAAAATTTGGTTTGGTACCTCACCATAGGAGGGGGCATTGTAAGTAAAAGGTGGGCACTTGGCTAATGGAGTTACAGTTAAATATTGTAAAAACAACAAAGCTTTTGGAATACAATTAGAAACATGTGTTGCTTCTGTTTCTTGATTTAGTTTTGTTTATTGTGAAATGTATACTAATTCATATCAGAAGTTATATTTGTCTGCTCATTTCACCTCTTAATTTACAAGCGTGCTTCTAGCATTAATTTATTCGACTGATGTTCAATTTATTTTCTAACTGAGGTAATGCTTTGCCTTTTACATTTGCTTCACTGTTTATGACAGTGCACACTCAAGGGAAACTGGGGCATGGCTGGGGCAGAATCAAGTCCTGCATCACTGTTCCAACTCTATGTCGATTATGGACGATATGCAGAAGCTACTAATCTGCTGCTTCATTATATTGAGTCTGTTGCAGCAGTGGTAATGTTTCCGTCTTTTCTCAGTGGACTTCCATAGATTGATATAAAATTTCCACGGGTTTGTTTCAGTTATCTCATTCAGATCCAAATATAGTTCTTTTTCACTGATACGTGAAATTAATCCTCCTGATATTGGACTGCGGTTCTTTACTAGTCACAGTATAAGGACTTGCCACATTTGTTGCTCTTCCTACACCAATTGTTATATTAATATCATTGCTATCTATATTTCTCTCTAAATATCAAATAAAGTGATATACTGATATTGAGGCATCTACCATTGTTACACTAGGGAGAGGTAGAAAAAACAATAAGCAGCCCCCCATTCATTAAGTATTGCGTTTGGATGACGCCCATTATCTTATTTGTGATCCTGCCAAGGTTTTTTCAAAAATACAACTGATATTGAGGCATCTACCGTTGTTATACTAGGGAGAGGTAGAAAATACAATAAGCAGCCCCCATTCATTAAGTATTGCATTTGGATGACGTCCATTATCTTATTTGTGATTTTATCAGTTTTATCTGATACATGTTTTATTAGGCAGTAGGTATCACCCATGCACTCAGTATGCATTCATGTTGGCTCTTCTTTCTGCGGTATGTTATGTAATTGGTCCAGATTTAGATGATTATACTAATATGTTATCAAGTTTGCTCAGCGAGATGAATGTTGAAATAAATGTTTTATGTGGTTTCAGGCATAAGTTAACTGGTTTAGGGGCTGTTCAGTTCGTTTACTGTTAAGACCTTGTATGGAAATAGCTAGCTGGCTGTATTGATATAGCTGTCTGTATGTATTAGACAATTAAGTGTGATATATATATATATATATAATTATATTAGAGGGTCTAGAGTGTAAATGTATCTCTTATATATATTATCCTTGATTGTAATCGATATATATACACACAATTACCAAGTTTATCTTGGTATCAGAGCCGGCTCTAAACGCCTACAGCTGCTGCCCTACCGCAGTCGGCCCTAAACGCCTACAGCTGCTGCCCTACGGCTGCCGCCCTACCGCTGCCATCACAAGGCAACCCTAAAGCTACCGCACCCGTCTTCTACCCTACGGCTGCCTCACCTTCTGTCCAATGACAACTGTTGCAGCTTTCACTCCAACCGAGAAAACCACCCATAACTTCCCCAAGTTTGGCTTCACTTTATCACCAAACAACTATGGCTATTGGAAGACAATGGTTCAACTGTTCCTTGTCACAAACAACCTGTTCGGCTATGTTGATGGCACCGTTCCTTGTCCACCGATGACTATCTCATCATCATCATCATCATCATCATCATCATCATCATCATCATCTGGAAAAGATGCCGGCAGCACCACAGTGCCCCCACCACAACCGAATCCTAACTACACGACATGGGTTTCCAATGATGCACATGTACGGATGCTGATTATTTCTACAATCTCTGAGGCGTCGTTCCAACACGTTCAAGGACTTACCTCCCGTGATCTTTGGCTGTCTCTTGAACGTGCTTACGCTCCTCACACATCATCTAGGGAATACACCCTAAAAACTCAGCTTCTTAAACTAGAGATGAAGCCTGCTGAAACCTCCTCCGCATACCTGACCAGGGCTCAAGAATATGATGATGCTCTCGCCAATATAGGCGAACCAATGAAAGAGAAAGATTTGGTGATGCTGGTTATCTCGGGTCTTAGAGAAGAATACAATGGGTTGAAGTCAACACTCCTTGGTCGCCAATTTCCAACTGCCTTTGCAGAACTTCATGGCCTGCTATCAGACCATGACTACATGATCAAGAAATCTGCAACTGACATCTCTCCGCCTCAAGCATTCTCGAATGTCACGAACAACCGCAACTCAGCGGTTCCTGGTGCCACCTCGTCTACTCCTCAACTTCAAGCTATTCAACAGCTTCTGTCACAACTTGGTCTTCAAGTTCAGCCTGTTAATGCACAGYCTGCACATGCCTTTTACACCAACAGATCTGGGAATAACCGTGGCCGTGGACGTGATTCTAGACGCGGACGAGGAAACTACAACAACAGAAGTCAAGGAGGAGGTAACCGTAATCAATTTAGTTGGGCTTCTAATCAAAACACTATTTTTGGCACATGCAACAGGTGTGGGATTGGTCATATCCCGTCTCATTACCCCAATCGCGACCCTGCTCCTATGAGGACGAGACAACCACCTTCTGCCAACTTTACAAATTACCGGTCACAAGCTTGGCTTCCGGATACAGGCTCTAGCCATCATGTTGCACCGGACCTATCTAGCTTCGATAACTCTGAGGCCTACTACGGTGACGACAACCTTCACGTTGGCAATGGTAAGGGTTTACCCATTCTAAACATTGGTTCCTCACAACTTCATTCACCAAACAAAACCTTTTCCCTTAAAGACATGCTACACGTACCCGACATAAAACAGAACTTACTTTCTGTTCAAAAATTATGTTTTGATAACCATGTGTACTTTGAATTTCACTCTACTTTCTTTGCTGTGAAGGACAAGTTCACACACACTATCCTCCTCACTGGTCCAAGTAATGGTGGTCTCTACTCCCGTCCTCCTCAGCCTGTTCAGAAAATGTCGTTTTCTACCACACGTGCCTCTTCCACCACATGGCACCAAAGACTTGGACATCCACATCCACAACTTTTGAAGTCCATGTTATCTAAATATCATTTACCTTTACAAAATAAGTGTGCTATTACTTTTTGTGATTCATGTTCTGTTGGCAAATCGTCTAAACTTCATTTGTTACCATCTAYWTATAAAAGTTCGCACATTTTGGATTTGGTTTTCTGTGATGTATGGGGGCCCGCTCCTGTTCCTTCTTTTGATGGTCACAATTATTTTCTGCTGTGTGTTGATCATTACTCCAGATTTATGTGGATCTTTCCATTAAAACTAAAATATGATGTTTATGCCATTTTTAAACGATTCCTTGCGATGGTTGAAAGACATTTTCAAACCAAACTAAAATCTGTTCGAACCGACTAGGGAGGCGAGTTTCGGAATCTCTCCCAATTCTTCTCTCCTCTCGGCATCACCCATCGCCTCTCATGTCCCCATACAAGCGAACAAAATGGCTTTGTTGAACGACGACATCGACATGTTGAAACCGGTCTTACTTTACTTGCTCAATCCCATGTTCCACAATGGTTTTGGCATTTTGCTTTTGACACTGCAGTCTATCTTATTAATCGAATGCCATCCAGAACCAACTCAAACACCTCACCATTTGAACATGTGTTCAAACACAAACCCGATTTTTCCTTTCTTCGGGTTTTTGGATGCCAATGCTACCCTCATCTCCGTTCATACAATAAACATAAAATTTACTTCCGCTCTACATCTTGTGTGTTCCTTGGTTACATCACCGCTCATCATGGCTATCGATGTTACGACCCACAGTCTGATCGTCTTAACGTGGCCCGTCATGTTCGATTTAATGAACAATTATTTCCTTTCCAAACATCTCCTCCAACCACTCCTACTCCAACCCCTCCAAATCCTTACGTCTCCACCTATCCCAAATCTGACCTCCCACCCACCTCTTCATCCTCCCCAAGACCTAATGAACATTCTGCTCCACCAGAACCGACACCCTCCACTGCACCTACAGTGCAAACTGTCCCACAAGAAACAACACCTACCACCACCCCTCCTAATGACCACCCTACGGCTCAACCACCCCTTATCCACACCTATCACCGCCGTTCCATAGTCACCAAACCACCACCGCAGCCTACCTCTATCCCCCCCTCCTCTACCACCGAACAACCCACCCGTACTCGACCACCCAACCTACGCACCAATCCCAAACAAACCAAACCTTACAATGCCTCCTCATACCATACCCATCATCCTTCACCTGACACCGAACCGACCACCTTTACTATTGCTAACAGGTACCCTCAGTGGCGTACTGCCATGGCAGACGAGTATTCGGCGTTGATGCGGAATGGTACTTGGACATTAGTAACACGCGTTCCAAATTCCAATGTAATTGATTGCAAGTGGGTATACAAATTAAAAAGGGACCAAACAGGGGCAATAAAACGTTACAAGGCACGACTAGTAGCCAAAAGGTTTCGGCAGCAACCAGGCATTGATTATCAGGAGACGTTCAGTCCCGTGGTCAAATCGACCACTATACGTGTTGTTCTATCTCTGGCCGCAACACAGAAATGGTCCCTAAGGCAGCTTGATGTGAAAAATGCCTTCCTACATGGTGATCTCAACGAGACAGTTTATTTGTAACAGCAACCAGGGTTCGTTGACCCGGACAAACCCGATCATGTTTGCCTACTTCACAAATCCTTATATGGATTAAAGCAGGCCCCTAGAGCGTGGTTTCATCGATATTCTACGGTCCTTCATTCTCTTGGCTTTTTCAGGGCTCCAAAACGGAGCCTTCCTTGTTTATTTACTCCCACAAGGGCACCATTTTGTACATGCTAGTCTATGTTGATGACATTCTTTTGACAGGAAACAACCCGGAGGCTATTGACAAAGTGGTACAACGTCTTAGCCAATCTTTTGTTGTTCAGGAAATGGGTTGCTTGTCTTATTTTCTCGGTATTGAAGTGACCAGTCAGGATCATGATATGATTCTATCACAACGGAAATACATCCTTGAACTCTTGCAACGCACAGGCCTGTGTAATGCTAAACCGACTTCATCTCCTATGACCACTAATGCTAATCTTGCTCTTGGTGATAGTGTTACGTTTGCTGATCTGGTCAAGTACCGCCAAATTGTTGGTGCCCTTCAATATGTGACATTGTCTCGTCCGGATATTACTTTTGCGGTCAACAAAGTCTGCCAATTTATGCAATCCCCCACTGAAAATCATTGGACGGCAGTCAAACGAATTTTTCGTTACTTGCAAGGCACTGCTGACTATGGTTTACGAATCATGCATGATTCAGGCACAATCCTTCATGCCTACACTGATTCTGCTTACAACTCTCTGACTGGCTTCTCCGATACTGACTGGGCTGGTTGCCTTGACGACCGTCGATCCACTAGCGGATATGCTATCTATCTTGGTTCAAACCTAGTATCATGGTCTGCACGAAAACAAAGGACTGTCTCTCGGTCATCAACAGAGTCTGAATACAAGGCTCTAGCCGATACTGTTGCTGAGCTCACATGGCTTCAAACACTACTGCGCGAACTCCGGGTTCCTGTGAAGTCGGTTCCTACCTTATGGTGTGATAATCATGGTGCTACGTATCTTTCAGCTAATCCTGTCTTTCATGCCTGTACCAAACATGTAGAAGTTGACTTTTACTTTGTTCGAGAAATGGTTGCACAACGGAAGCTTTCAGTTCAGTTTATATCTACAGATGATCAGATTGCAGACTTGTTTGCCAAGCCGCTACCTTCACAACGGTTTCTCCTATTACGGTCCAAGCTACAGGTCGCTCCCCGGCCTTAGCTTGCGGGGGAATATTAGACAATTAAGTGTGATATATATATATATATATATATATAATTATATTAGAGGGTCTAGAGTGTAAATGTATCTCTTATATATATCCCTGATTGTAATCGATATATATACACACAATTACCAAGTTTATCTGTATGTTAACAGAAAAGGGTTGTTGAACTGAATAAACAGTCTGAATTTCAGAAATGACCATTTTAGTCCCAGTCTTTATTTTTGATTGAATAAAACAATAGTTTGATAAAAATGTTGAATAAATGACTTGCAATTATAACAAAAATATCAATTTAAATGTTATTTAAATAAAAACAACTTGACTAAATTAAATTTTATGAATTCAAACATTTATCGTAGCTTGAAAATTTTCTTTCTTTTTTCTTTTCCTTAATTTAATATTATTGTGTCTTCGTTGAGGCATTAGGTTTATACTTCATTCTTCCGTTGTACCCTATGTTGGTTTGCACAATCATTGGTACTTTAGTATTGCCATGTTCACTAATTGCACCAAGTTATTTAAATTCATTTGCACAAATTACAAGCTTCAAAGCTTAAAAATAACATTATAGAGTCCTCTTTCCACAAAAATAAAATAAAATTTGAAGATGATCTGGTGAAGAACTTGACTAATTGTAATACATAAACAGTTGGGGAGTGCGTACGTGGTTTGCAATTAACGATCTTGGTTGTACTTCACTTTTCCTTTGGCTGGCATGTTGCTTCGAAACTGGGCCATTGCGGAAAAGCAGACATTGTCGAAAGCTTATGTTCTTTATTCCATGCCACATTTCTTAGCACCGTCAAAGCTTTCAATGGTATCTGATAAATAATACAAAATGCTTCTTCAAAAGATTGAGAAATTTTCATAGCCAATGTAAACATTGTTAGGCTAAATAACAATGACATATAATGAGAAAAATATTATCTGTGCTTACTGTTTATTTAGGATAAGAATTTAGAGTAGCTTCCATTTTTAACTAGTTGTTTCTGATATTTTGTCACATACCTGCAGAGACCAGCTGATGTCATTCGTCGGAAGAAGACATCTGCAGTCTGGTTTCCATACACAACAATCGAGCGGTTGTGGTGCAAGCTTGAGGAATTAATTAGTTCGGGCCATATGGTACATCAATGTGAAAAGCTAAGAACACTGTTACTGGCGGCTTTGCTCAAGCATTTCAAACTGGTACTGTTTCAGCTCTTGACTGCTATCAATCCCCCCCCCCGCCCCCCCGGCCCCGTGCAGCGCAGGTCCCTGCGTATTACCTTAGGGGTAGGAGTTCCCGGGTTCAAACCCGTTGTGAATTACCTCCCCCATGATGGTCATGGGACTGGTGGGGTGGGGGCCCTCCAGAGTAGAGATGTACAAAAAAGCCCGGTTGAGCCTAAAATAGTCTGCTAAGGCTCTCTTTCTACCCCAAAGATGGGCCCAAGCCTAAAATAGCCCAGGCTTTTTCTGCTTACTGAAAATCAGGCTTGGAAGGCCCAGGTCTTGTTCATCTTTTGTCTCCTCAGTAGGTGAACTTACCATGTTTCTCAATCTTGAATCCAGCTAAATGTAGACTCGGAAGATGTAATGTCCTCTTCAACGTCTTGATGCTTATCCGTTACAACTTTTAGCATCCGTGGTAACGAGTAAACGTCGTTCATGGTTTGATGTCTGTACAGTACCCTGAGTTGGTTTTGACATCAAGTCATTCTGTTATAACCATGAATGTCCAAGTACAAACGTATGTTTCTCGACCTGCTGCCGGCGACTTGCTATTGAAGACCAAAGTGTTGTTGTGACACTAAAACCAACTAGTGTTTTGGATCCAGGATTGCCAGCTATGTTTTGTTGCATCACAAATCTGTCTTGCTTATATAGTATGTACTTCCTTTTTTCTCCTTTGATGCATTGTTTTCAAGTACATAAATATTATATACTGTAAATGCATCCTTCTCATAGTTGGTAAAATTTACAATAACTTAGATACTGCTAGGCCACAGAGGGCTTTTTATAATTTGATGCAATGTTGTTTGCACACATTATGGCATGTACTTTGCTTGCTTCTTCTTTTATTTATTTGTTTGGCAAGTCAAAAACAGTCTCTATTCTATCCTTTAGAGTAGAGGTAAGATATATGTATGTATCTTAATAGAAACAACCTCTGCATGAGATTGATTGGTCTTTTTGGATTGGTTATGTGTCACCAGGGCCAGTCCTAGACATTTGGTGCCCTACATAAACACAGTTATTTAGAAGTGCCTTCAATTTTTTGGTTGTTTGTTACAATGTTAAAATGATGTTATTGAGTAACAATACCACTTATGATGTTCACTTTGCTTGGTAATAAAAACCATTTGAAATAAATTGAAAGTAACCTACATTTAACATATAGTAGAATTTCTTGACATGTGATTCTGCTAAAACAAACAACATTTCAGAACTTGGTTATGTAATAATATGCTCAAACAGTGTTAAAAGTCAGTTTTGAACATGGCTTAGAAATGTCATTTTGTAGCAAATTTATATAATTTATTAAAAACTAGAGCATACATATGTGCTAAATGCAACGGAAATAGCTTACCAATTTCTTGCATAAAATATTTGACGGAATTATACACAAAGCAAAAATAATAAGATTTCAAATATGATCACAAAGTTTTTCAAACCAGAATTCCTTTCAAAATATTTACTCTTGAATGTGACTAGTTATTTACTTTTCTTTTTTATCTCAGATAAATGTTTATTGTAATAAGATGAGACAAAGAAACAAATTCTAAAGTGAGATAAATTAGGAAGAAAGTTGTAAAATTAGAATGAGGACTAAAATTAGTGAAAAACATAAATAGCTTAGTGATAAGCTTGTTTGTGGTTATATTAGAGGTCTCGTGTTTGCATCATTTTTCTCTAGATAATAACAGTTCATAGGGATGTTTGCAGTCTGATTTAGGCTGTTTAACCCTTAAACCATAAACCAAACTGTAATGGCAATTTAGAAATTTTTCAAACCGAGCGGTTTGACGATAAGTGACTAAACCGGTCAAATTAGATCACTAAAAGGCAGTCTGATCTGACCAGTTTAGGCAGTTTCGGCCTTTTATGGGCATTAAATTAAAAAACATAACATCTATATCTCAAATGAAATTTCTATCAACATTATTAAGAAAAAAGTAACCGATAATAAAATAAAGGTCCTCTAAAATTAAAAAAAACATTGAGTAAGTTGAAAAAGTTAAACAAGTCCACCAACAATAGCTAAATTTTTAGACAAACATTGAGCAAACTGATGGACGATTTAGAATTTTGCATTTGATTTTTAACGGATTATAGAATTTTGCCAATTTAGATAATGCGGCCGATTGAGAAATAAAAATACTAAAACGTAATGTCTTTGATGAACTTTTCTTAATTGGCCATAAAAGTCTAACTTACAACATGAAAACTAAGTATAATCAATAGATGTGTAATTTTGGCGGTCGTTTTGGTTTAGACCGCTCAAAAAATGTTTAAACCGCAGACCGGACCGAGCGGTTTGGCTATTTTTCATACTGTAACGGACCACCAAAACCTTTCAAACAACCAACAACGGTCTGGCTTGACTTGGTTTGACCCGTTTGAGCGATCCAACAGTTTTCTAAACATCCCTAACAGTTCCCTAATGAAATGATGCCCTTGGACATGTGTTGCCTTGAGCCGCCGATCGACTCACTCAGCACTAGGGACTGCCATGGATGTCATGAGCAATCCCATACAATGTCTAACTATTATCAAAAGTTTTGATGCAGTTTTTCCTTTCGAAAAATGGGTGAAGATACAAAGTTCTTTACAAAATTTCAATAGAACAGTTTTACTGAATAAAAAAATATCATTTATTTGGAGTCATAATAAGATAATGTACCTAAAACATTTATTGTGTAAAATCTTAATCATCCTACTTTACCATCTCATCATATTTCACAATAAAACTAATACATTATTAAATTCCTCATATCTTTATCTATATTTTAATATATGTTTCGTCACAGAAATGTGGCAAAAATAATATATTTTTCAAATAGTAAAACATCTACCTTTAAATTGGGGTGTTATAGAAGTTAACTGTAAATGTCAAAACACTTTAAACATGTCGATGTTTATTTCATTCTGTTTTTCTAATCTTAACACCTTACTATCTAAATAGACGGTTTGGTTGGTTAAACAGTCAAAGGAAAATGTCCAAAATCCAAATCCTCTTCAAACCGATGTGCATCACAAAAAAGGGTCTTGTTTTATCTTATTTGACTGGCTTTCGTGGTCCCTACCGAATATGTTGAGAACAGAAAGAAAACACATAATAAATCCGGCCGCAACTTGCAATCCTAATGCCCAACTAGATGCATTTTTGTAACACCCCCATTCCATAGGAAGGGAGGTCGCTTCAAAACGTAACGGAGTCGATAATATAAAACTTCCAAAATGTAGTCTTCAATACAAAAAAAAAATCTTCCAAATAAAGAAATAAACATCTCCAAACAAACTACTTCAAACACCTTCGAACAACTCAAGAAAATCCAAATACAACTTAAAAAAAATGCTAGTCTAATAGCCAATGAAATTAAACCAATAATTGAATAACATAACACTGAACCTCCCGAAACCTTTGAAATTGAGATCCTGGTTTCTCTCTGTCACAAGACTTAGCCGCCCCCTTGATTACCTGCCATGAGGAACAGAAGAAAACACGGCTAAACCAAATGCCCAGTAAACGGATAAACAATTAAAATAAAATAATAATACAAACACGCCAAAATTGATCTCAAGATATCGGACAAAACGAATACCAAAATCTTAGTAAAATCAACAAATAAGATAATCATACGAAAACATATGAGGAGACAAATCGAGCTCAAAAAATGCATACACTTGCATATGAACCAACAGAACAAGTGTCAGATATATGGCCACACAGGCCTATACGTTGGACTGCAGATCCACACGTACTAAATGTAAGATGTGCCATTGGACACTACACCAACATCCACCCAACACATCACATGTGCTAGGGCCAACCCATACGCCTCCTAAATCTAATATCCATCACACCAAAATAGCTCTCACAAGAGCACAAAAGAGGAGACGTCGTGGACTGATCACACTGCCATGGTTAGTGTCACGCCATCGGTGCCATAATGACGTGCCTATGGTACCTCCTCCATAGGTGGTTAGTAGTTTGAGTAACCCGGAGTTGAGTTGGCACAACGAATGTGACGTCATACGTCTTACATATGGTCAATACATAACGAAATCAAATGAAAAGTCAAACATAAGCCAAGTAAGGAATTATGTTGAATAAACAAGTAGTCGTAACGATAAATAGACTCGAATCAAATAATGCATAATCGATCACAAGTACCAACATGTGTACTTTTAGAGGTAATAATCATACCAAAATATTATGGAACTAACATATTATTTTGGACAAAACACATATTTATACCAACATTGACCAACTTTAATAACTGATTAGAATGTGGCTTTCTTACAACATGTATGACATAGAACAATTGCAAGTGAATAGAAATGCGGTATAAAAAGAATAGCAATAATCATGAGTCAATTAATTCGAGTTGAGAAAGCTTAAGGGTTCGTAAACATATGTAAAGAAATCAAATGAACGAATAGAATTAGGAACCCGTACCTTAATCTTCACAATGTTTACCAACCATCGAGTCCACTTCTTTATACTGGCCCTAAAACAATACCCAAATTTTATTATTAATTCTAATTGATAACTTGATGGCATTAACGAAACCAAACCACTTTAACAACTAATAATGTAACTAAACTAAACTAAACTAAATCTTATCAATTAATATACTACTATGGGAACATAAATAAATATCAAGGAATGAACCATGGCAGCAACTAACCAAACAATGGAAAAAAAAGGAACACATAAACTAGAATCCAAGCAGATTAGGAGTTTACATAACCGAGACTCGGCTTCCTTTCGGACAGCCCCCTCCCAAGCATATTACAATCCAAACAAAAAGGTCACGTCTTTCGGACGACTGTAAAAGCAGCAGCAGACTCGATTGAAAATCGATTTGTTTTGACCCAGTTTTTCGGCGATTCACACACCTTTGTTGGCGATAAAATGACGACAACTATATGCACCAACATCAAGCATATACAAAATTAAATTTGATGGAAGAATAAGCATAATTCTGGGAGTTCTAAATACAATTTTAACGAACCTCGAACTGCTGCCCTTGCTTATACATCGAATCGATGAATTTCAAACCATTGAAACAAATCAAACTTAACCCCAAAACTCCCAGAATTGACACCATAAATACTAATCATATATCTTCAAGGTTGGGACAAAAATTTACCACAAATCAATGAGAATTTCTAGAACCTAGCTTGTCCTCAGCCTTATCTCCTACGCTTCTCGATCAGTTCTCCCAAGTTCGTGAGGTTTTCTCTAGCGATTGAACAAAGTTAAGAGTTAGGGTTGGGGTTTAAAAAAAAAAAAAAAAAAAAAAAGAAGGCGGCAAAATACGTGTAATAGTAACCTGCTTTTACAAATTTTCTTATTATAGCATTTTACTTTCAGTTTTTCTTATTACAATGTCACACCCCGCTAAAGCGCAAACGCGAGATGCAACAGGCAAGCGTGTCACATCGATAATTAATAGATAACAACTTTAAGTTTTACATAATAAAACGAGTTTAATATTACAACCAAAATTTTATAAAACTCTTCATTTGCAAAACTTCCGATTCGAACTAGATCAGCTTTGTCACGAGTATGCCCCCAAGTGAAACAAATCTTACTTACCTCTTGAAGAGCATGGAACATAAAACGAGTCAACTACAAAGAGTTGGTGAGCTCACAGGTTTTCACATGCATAAAACATTTTAATGCATAATCCAAATATTTGCAAACTTATGCAATACTTTTGCACTTAATAAATGTAAATCTTTATGACGTAGGAACTTGAGATGCTACTGAGCCTTACCTGACCAACTGCCCCATTAATTTACGAACAACCATAAGTAGCCCGTACACTACTTAGGTCCCACAGTTCGATATAGTACTAATTCAGCGATGGTCCAAATTCCACATGATTAGACCAATAAAACATAGGTAGAGTGCACCCCTTTCTAGGTGGGACTGTCAACACAATAGCGGCTATCCACAATACCACGGCCCGGGGACATGCCCGAGTTAACAAGTAGTGTTTACGGACGGGGACTTTATTTGGAAACATACTCTCAAGCACATCAATTTAGCATTTATTCTAGAGTGCAAAAACGGTTAATAAATCATAACATAGTAAACCCGACTAAGCAGTTCCTTAGTCCAGAGGTTTTAAACAGAGTTTGACTAAGCAGTTCCTTAGTCCAAAGATTTTAAATAAAACTTGACTAAGCAGTTCCTTAGTCCAAAGATTTACATAAAAACATGCATAGCTTGCTTATTCTCATGCCTTTCCCCCAAACAAATAGTTAAAACATTAAAAGTGGGGCCGTGAGGACTCACTGGTTTAGGAATGAATATCCAAGGTGATGATGTCTGTCGCTTTCAACGCCCGCCCTAACTTCCTAAACAGACCAATGACCAGAACTAAGATCACTTATGGGTTCAAGACAATGATAAAGTTAGGTTGCATCCCATGCAATGCCATCGAGTTTTCATAAACTTAAAGTTGAGGTTTATAATTTACTCTAAAAATAACCCAAAAATTATATATCAAAAGAGATTGAAATCCTAAACTCAAAAGGTGATTTTTGGAYARATTATAAATWCTGTTCCAAGTATTTTTGGGTTTCACGAGGCTCTAAAWATAGGAACCTTCCAAAAGTCCTCTTTATCCAACTTGTCAAATCATTTAAAATCATGAGGTTAGCCGACTAACCCAAATATCAAGAAGTTTTAAAGAAATTTAAATTCCTCATCATTACACTACAATCCTTGAGTTACACAGCCCCCGAAATAGATTGCACGTTCACCGAGCGGCAACTATTTAGGGTCGAGCTTACCATTTCCCAAAGGAAATCGCCATTTTCAGGATAGCAAAAATAAATTTCTAATTTCCAGGGACGAATCTTTCCCGATTCCATTGAGTTTTCGAAAAAGGTAAGGTAGATTAAAGATGCATGCAAGATTTTTCACTTTAAAACACCGCTTCGTGGGTTAAATCTTCACATGCAATGAGTTTTTCCCCTTCCTACTTTGGAGTTTTAAGCATATGGGTCATAGATTATTATCTTCCTAGAAGACGTTTTCATGTCTTGGATGAATAATCTCTCCTCTTTATAAATTCAGAAAGTTAACACAAGATCGAAGCAAAGAAGAAGGATGCAACTCAAGACGTTTTACAAAAGTAAGATAATTAGCATCATACCTTTTTCTTGAAGTCTAGGAGGATCTTTAAGAATGTGAAATAAGTTTAAAAGACTTGCACAAAGGTGGAATCCACTGGAGAGCGTTTGGTTTTTAGAGAGAGAGAGAGAGTTTGGAGAAGTTTTCAAACAGGCGATTCATGCAAATGGAAGTTCTTCATGGATGAGGAGTATTTATATGAGGATTTTAAATGAAGTGAATGGGCTTCGCCAACAAGGCCCAAACCGAATGAACCTTTATTTTCCCTAGAGGATAAGCCCATAATAATCTTCATTCAAACTTATATAAAAAGGTTTTATAGAATCCAAAACTCCATCTTTTGATGAAACAAGTGGACATTCAAATGGAACTTTGGAAATTTAATTTAAGGAAAACTCATAACATCAATTTTTTTTTTATCTAGAATATTTTCAAAATATTTGGCATTGCATAAGATAACCTTATCGGATCCCCTACCAAAGCGCGACCTTCCCGACTAAATTTGGGAGCTAAAACTAAAAAGGTTCTAATCACCTAAGAGTAGATCCTAGAGAAATGTAATTTCTAAATATAGGATCTGCTATGGGGTGCTAACCTGAAGTTTAGAAGTGACGGGATGTCACAGTCTTCCCATGTCAGAGAAATTTCGCCCCGAAATTTATTTGTCTACTTCAAATCAAGACTCGTTAGAGAACAAATGTTGATACTTGCTTCTCATGGAATCTTCTCTTTCCCACGTATATTTCGGTCCATGCCGCGAAGTCCAATGAACTTTTACAATCGGGATTTTGTTGTGCCTCAGTTGCTTAACCTTACGGTCGAGGATTTCGATCGGCTCTTCAACAAAACGTAGACGTTCATTAATTTGAATATCTTCCAGAGGTAGAACTAAAGACTTGTCGGCTAAACACTTCTTAAGATTCGACACATGGAATGTATCATGGATGGCACTAAGCTTTGGGGGTAAGTTGAGTTTGTATGCAACTGGTCCTACTCTTTCGAGTATTTCGAATGGACCGACATACCTTGGACTAAGCTTTCCTTTCTTTCCGAAGCGCACAACCCCTTTCCACGGTGATATTTTTAAAAGGACTTTATCACCTACTTGAAATTCCAAGGGTTTCCTTCGGTTATCGGCGTAGCTCTTCTGACGATCCCTTGCAGCTTTAAGTCTTTCTTGGATGATTGCGATTTTGTCGGTTGTTTCCTGGATAATGTCAGGCCTAGTCAGTTGCCTATCTCCAATTTCCTGCCAACTGATTGGGGATCTACATTTTCGTCCATACAAGGCTTCAAAAGGTGCACATTGAATACTGGTGTGATAACTAWTATTGTAGGAAAATTCGACCAATGGTAGATGRRYATCCCAACTRCCTCCRAAGTCTATCACACAGGCTCGTAACATATCCTCTAGTGTTTGAATCGTCCTCTYTGTTTGTCYATCCGTTTGAGGGTGATAAGAAGTGCTTAAATCCAATCTCGTGCCTAGTGCCCTTTGAACCGATTGCCATAACCTGGAAGTAAAGCGGCTGTCTCTATCTGAGATAACAGTAATAGGTACTCCATGCCGTGACACAATCTCGTTGACATACAGTTGTGCCAGCCTTTCCGTACTGAAATCTTCTCGAATAGGCAAAAAGTGCACGGATTTCGTAAGTCGATCCACTATGACCCAAACGGAGTCATATCATTTCCTTGTTCTTGGTAACTTTGTAACAAAATTCATTGATAAATGATCCCATTTCCATTGAGGAATCTCTGGTTGCTGAAGAAGACCAGATGGTTTCTGATGTTCAACTTTTACTTTTGCACAGGTCATACACCGACTTACGTATAAAGCAACATCTCTTTTCATTCCTGGCCACCAGTAGTATTCTCTCATCCCTTTGTACATTTTATCGGATCCTGGGTGAATCGAATATGTGGAACGATGGGCTTCCTCCATGATTGTAGACCGAAGGCTGTCGCTTTTTGGTATCCAAACTCTATCCTTGAAATAGCACACTCCATCCGCTCGGGTTTTGAATTCTTTCTCTAAGTGATGCAGGGTTTCATTCTTCAGGTTCTCTGATTTCAACGCCTCATGTTGAGCTTCAAGAATTTGCGTTTTTAAGTTCGTTTGAACCAACATTCCCATGGCTCGTGCCCTTGATGGTTTCACCCTTTCCTTCCGGCTTAAGGCGTCGGGTACCACGTTAGTTTTTCCCGGGTGATGCTTTATTTCACAATCATAATCGTTGAGAAGTTCAACCCACCTCCATTGCCTCATGTTCAGCATCTTTTGATCTAATATATGTTGAAGGCTTTTATGATCTGTGAAAATGGTGCATTTGGTGCCGTAAAGATAGTGCCTCCAAATTTTAAGTGCAAACACCACTGCCCCCAACTTAAGGTCATGCGTAGTGTAATTCTTTTCGTGCACTTTGAGTTGCCTTGAGGCATACGCAATGACTTTGTCTTTTTGCATTAGCACGCATCCTAAGCCTTGATGCGATGCATAACAATAGACCACAAAATTTTCCAAACCCTCTGGTAGGGCTAAGATAGGTGCGTGACATAGCCTCTGCTTAAGAGTCTCAAACGCTTCTTCCTGTTTCTCACTCCAAACAAACTTCTTGTCCTTTTGGGTTAAAGCAGTGAGTGGTTGAGCAATTTTTGAGAAATTCGCAATGAATCTTCGATAGTAGCCTGCCAAACCGAGAAACTGTCGAATCTCTGTTGGGGTTCTTGGGGCCTTCCAATTTCTAATGGCCTCGACCTTGGCAGGATCCACCTGAATCCCTCTTTCATTAACTATGTGCCCAAGAAATTGTACTTCCCAAATCCAAAATTCACACTTGGAAAATTTTGCGTACAGTTTTTGGCCCCGGAGTAGCTCCAATATTAACCTCAGGTGTTGTTCATGATCTTCCTTACTTGGAGAATAGATCAGTATATCATCTATGAAAACAATTACGAATTTATCCAAGTAGGGTCGACAGACTCTATTCATTAAATCCATGAAGACGGCCGGTGCATTGGTTAACCCAAATGGCATTACTATGAACTCGTAGTGACCGTACCGAATTCTGAAGGCTGTTTTGGGAATGTCCTCTTCCCGCACTCTTACTTAGTGATATCCAGACCGTAGGTCAATCTTGGAAAAGTATACTGCACCTTGAAGTTGATCGAACAGGTCATCGATTCGAGGAAGGGGGTATCTATTCTTGATGGTCAACTTATTAAGTTCCCTATAATCAATGCACATTCGCATTGACCCATCTTTCTTTTTAACGAATAGAACCGGTGCACCCCATGGTGAGTAATTTGGTCTTATAAATCCCATATCTAACAACTCTTGGAGTTGTTTTGACATTTCCTGCATCTCCGCAGGTGCCAAATGATATGGTGCCTTTGCCACTGGGGCAGCCCCAGGGATCAAGTCGATACCGAATTCGACTTGTCTTTGCGGGGGTAACCCTGGTAAATCCTTGGGAAATACGTCGAAAAACTCCCGAACTACAGGGACCTCGCCGATATCTTCTTCCTTGCCCTTCCTATCAACAACATGCGCCAGGAATGCGACATACTCCTTCCTCAAGTACTTTTGCATTTTTATGCAAGACACTAACTTAATTTTTCGATCCGACTTGTCTCCTTGAATCTCTATTGGGTCATTTCCATCCTGAGGAATCCGGATAACCTTCTCTGAACAGACAATTTCAGCTTGATTTTCGGATAGCCAATCCATGCCTACAACTATGTCGAAGCTTCCTAACTCGATAGGAATAAGGTCTATGCTAAAATTCTTATTGGCTAAACTTATTCTACAATCCTTGATTATATTTCTAGCCTTAAATTCTTGGCCATTGGCAAACTCAACTACATAGGCTTCTTTCAGCCTCTGGTATTTTAGGTTAATCTTCTGCTTAAAGTCCAGGGATACAAAACTTCTATCCGCTCCTGAATCAAATAGAACTGACGCGAATTCATTATTCAAAAGRAACGTACCTGWGACTACATTGGGATCATTTCTAGCTTCTCTGGCCCCRATTTCAAAYGCTCTGCCCCGTGTCTGACTCTCTGGGYTTCCTTGACTGATYGWTCGAGCTTGGCCTGCATTGGGTCCTTGTTTCCTTTTCGGACAAACGTTCCTSATATGATCTGGACTTCCACAATCGAAGCACAATCGCTTCCGACAATCCTTAGCWGTATGACCCCCGAGATGGCACCTTTGACAAATGATGCAGTTTCCCSAGTGCGGGTATTTACATCTATTRCACTTGGCTTTGTCTCTTTGATTCACCGTCTGAGTCTGTGCCCCGAAGTTTCCTACCGTTCTCTTACTCCTGTCATATTTTCCCYCAAGTCTWYGATTTCCATACCCSTCCACYTTTYTTTTCCCTTTGGCGAATTCTCCTGAACGAACMGCGTTATTCGTGAGTTTGGTGGCAATATCAATGGCTTCTTGAAGAGTCTTTGGATTTRCCGAGGTAATGTTTCCTCTAATCTCTGGGGATAATCCCYAAATATACCTTTCAACGCGGACTTCCTCTGGCGTCACTAGGTGTGGCACTAGATTTGCCAACTCATGAAATCGAGCTGTATAGGCAGCTATATCTTCTCCTTTCATTTCGTGATTCCATAACTCCATTTTTAGCTTCTGGGGCAGTATTCGGCCTTCAGGAGTTTCTTGAACTCCTCCCACGAAAGTTGATTAGCCACTTCTCGACCTCTGGCATGTACCAATGCATTCCACCAAGTGAGTGCCCTTCCTTGCAACAAACATGCCGCATATTCCACTTTGTTTGTTTCAAGACACTTGCTAATATGGAGGACGGATTCCATACTCTCTATCCATGTCAGTAATCCTACAGCCCCTTCAGTCCCATGGAATTCTTTTGGATTACAGGATCTGAAGGACTTGTAAGTGCATTCTCCGGGTGGTCTAGGTTCAGAATTTGATGATTGATTCGCATTAAGCGCTGCCGCTACTTGACTGACGATGTTGGGTAGTGCGGCCAATAGTTGCTCTGACACAAGTCGTGCAACTTCGGGGTTCTCTCTTCTTGGTGGCATTTTCTATGGCCTAAATCAGAAGGGAGTTCATCGTTAATATAACAACACCATAATTATTTCTTCCGATCATTTAATTGATGTAAGGGGCATTCATCACATGGAGAGATATTCAAACTTTTATGTAACCACATGGCTTAAATTTATACACATTAAGGCTTGCCATAAATGAACATTTCTAAAAAAGACGCCATGTATTCATAGACGATTACAACCACGAAAAAAAACCTCACATGACTAAGCAAAAGAGTGGGTATTCTACCCTAATTTCCATCCTAGAATAACATCCATCCTATCGTTATTCCCAACATCAACATCATCATTCCACAAACTACCAACCATCTATACAACTTCCTAATTTCCCGCTTGGCTGCGACAACAGCTTCCCTGTTCCTTATTATGCTCTGGTGGTGTGCTTCCATCACATTGGACAGGTTGTTAAGGATGTGGTGATGGTATCCCAGCCGGGTCTCATGCATTTGCGTATCTGATGCAATTCTCTGCACCCATTCTCGTTCAGTCATGTTCATACCCTGAGCATAAGATGCAGGTACGCCAGTCACTATTTAGGATAGCCTGTGCCCCTGTGGTGGTCGTGATGGCTCTCCTCTTACTCTAGAGGAATTCTCAAACATCACACATCGAGGCAGGGGGACGCTCTTCCTTGGCGTGACTCTGATCTGTGAACCATGATAGGTTTGTGGTGGAACGTTAGTTGCTGGCTCTGATGGGGGTAAGAAAGACGCTAGTGGAGAGGCAGATGCTCCACTGATTGCAGTGCCCTGCTCATATGGATCTATCTCTTCATCGTGGGCTAAGTTCCTTCTAGAGTGGCCAACCACGTAACCGGATTCATCGACTGAGTATTCACTAGAATCGGATGACGCCATAGTGATCTGCGACATTAATAATCTTAATTACTAAATGCATCATCTAAAAATGCTTAGAGATATAGCCAAAACTTCTAAACAAGGCTAAGAGTGGAAATCAAACTAAACTCTCAAAATATAAAGCCTCTGGTCGTGCTATCAGAGCTTCTGGTTTCATGACCAGAGCTTCTGGTCTTGTGACCAGAGCTTCTGGTTCAACTAAAATCCTTAGGAAAGGATTTCTTATCCATCGGTCCTTTCGCACACCAATGGAATTCTATTTTATCTTCCACTGGTTTAACATCCATACTTAAAATAATTATGGAACTTTTGTCCATCGATCCTCTGGTTCCTCATAACGTACTTACCAGAGCTTCTGGTTACAAAATCAGAGCCTCTGGTTCCATTTTCATACTTAGAAAAATACTAAGCAACCTATGCATCGGTCTATGTTTTCCTTCCCAACAATGCTTCTGGTACCACATACACTATAACTTTATGGGGTTTCTATCCCTTTGCCTCTAGTCCTGCATACCAGAGCTTCTAATCTAATTAAACACATAAATTTTATGAAATTTCTATCCCATCGCCTCTAGTCCTTCTAACCAGAGCTTCTGGTCCAACATGGACACTTAACAAAATAAGGGTTTTTCTACCCACGTCTCTGGTCTTTCTAGGGCAATGGATATTCATAGCGAGTATAATGCATAAAATCGTGCTTTTCATAATAATTTCTTTATGGGAGCATATCTC